AAGTTAAACTATACAGTTAAATTAATATGCATTTAAATAAATACAAATTTAATTAAAGTAAATTAAGTTAAAAGAGTCACAGCTAAATAAGTTAAATTTATTTAAAATATGCATATATAAAAAAAGAATGTTTAGGTTAAAATAAATGAATACAAGTTAAAGTAAAATTTAATAAATAAATAGTTAAATACAAATAAATACATTTAAACTAATTTATTTCCATCAATAAAACGTTTTATTTAAATAAATAATAATATTTTAAAAATTATAATAAAAAATTTAAATAAATAAAACATAAAATAAGGTAAGTATATAGTTAGATTTAAATAAATAAAAGTTAGATATAAATAAATATTAAATTAAAATAAATTAAGCAAATAAATGATTAAAATGTCTATTTAAATTCAATTTTATTAAAATAGAGGTAAAATAGATGTATAAAATAAATGTCAAACAAATAAAGTGTATTATATTAATAATAATTATTATCAAAGACTAGAGAGTTCTAAAGAGCTTAGTTATTATTTAATAATTACATTACTTATGTATCATTAAAGACTATAGGATACTGAAATATAAAATTTATACATTTTTAATACTTTAAAGGGACTTTGTTATTCATATTAATAATTATTATTGTTCATGAATTTTAAATAAATAGTAATAAATAGTAAAATTCATCAGTAGTGTGCACATATGAGCTTTATCCACAATGAAAAACGTAAACATGAAGCTAATAAGCTATATTTACAGATAAATTACTATTAAGTGTGTGTGTGTGTGTGTGTGTGTGTGTGTGTGTGTGTGTGTGTGTGTGTGTGTGTGTGTGTGTGTGTGTGTGTGTGTGTGTGTGTGTGTGTGTGTGTGTGTTGTTGTTGTTGTTGTTGTTGCTCCTCTGCGCCGCTCGGTGGCGCCACTGGGAGCAGAGACGCCTCTGAAGACAACAAAATCAGTAAAGTCTAGAAGGGATACAGCCGCGGATACTCATCTACATATGCGGATATACAGATACTCATCAATAAAGCATCATTTATGTGTGTTTTGTGACGCTGTACAACAATAATGACCGTTCTTACATTAATGTAAGGGTTGGGTTTACGGCTATGGTGAGGATAAGCTTAATAAAATACCCTTAATAGGTCATTTATTATATGAATAATACTTGATATAATTACTATAATTACTGTGATGGTTGGGTTTAGGATTGTGCTTGGGGTAAATGTTAATAAAATACAGTCATTGAGTAATTTAATAAATAGGCTAATATAAACACTATTCGTTAACTTCCGGCCGCAGCTGTATCTCTTCTAGCACAAACCCACTAACTCCGCGTCTGTCGCGTCACACAACATTACTCCAACAACAAGGTGAGTTTTACACACATTTACACCTTTACTGTGATTTACAGTCGCTTTACATTCATTTTCTGCTCTTATATTTGAGTCGTACGTGAGAAAGGAGCGTGTTTTAGATCCGAGGTGAGACTATAAACAGGAAACTGATCTTGTCAAGCTAACGCTAAGCTCATCATGTAAACGCTTTTAATTATGAAAGATGAATATATTTTCGACTGTGTAATGTAAGTCAATGATGAGAGGTATCAATTCGGTCTCATATCAGATGAGATGTATAAATGACATATGTTCGTCATGTTTGTTGGTGATTCAGCAGATTGTCAACACGAACAAACACACAACAGCTGTATTAAACTGTATAATTTCAGATATATATAACAGTGATTATAATAAGTGTGATTCTGTTTGACATGACGAAATTCCTCCCGTATGAATAAATGAACAAAACATTAGTTTTGCTCGGTTTTATTAGCTGTAAAATGGTAGCAAATAATTAAAAACGAATATGCAATACTTTCAGCATCATTATATTTATTAATGATGCTGTATATCCATACTTCTGCAATATTCTTGAATTACATTCATAAGTAATATATTATAATAAAACGGCCACACTTTACAATAAGGTTAATCAGGTAATGCATTTACTAACAACAACTATGAACGATACTTGTACAGCATTTACTAATCATAATTCAACATTTACTAATGCAATATTAACATCCAAGTTCAAGCCTGTAAACATTAGTTGATGAGTTAACATCAAATAACAATGAACATCTATGGACAGACATGTGTGTGATATATCAGACAGATATACAAATAGATAGATAGACAGACAGACAGACAGACAGACAGAAAAATAGATAGATAGATAGATTGACAGATAGACAGACAGACAGACAGGCAGGCAGGCAGGCAGGCAGGCAGGCAGGCAGGCAGGCAGGCAGGCAGGCAGACAGACAGACAGAAATATAGATAGATAGATAGATAGATAGATAGATAGATAGATAGATAGACAGACAGACAGACAGACAGACAGACAGACAGAAATATAGATAGATAGATAGACAGACAGACAGACAGACAGGCAGGCAGGCAGACAGACAGACAGAAATATAGATAGATAGATAGATAGACAGACA